GTGTGCATGCAAAAGTATATTACAAGGGGGTATGGCGCAATTTTTAAAATACAGGGGGAAAACGCGCAGATTTAGTATATTACAGGGGGGTTTGGTGCAATTTACCCCAAATAAAAATAATGATAAATCGGAATTCAAAATAATTATTAAGAGGAGTCCAAACTAAAAGTCCTAATTCGTGATGGTCAAGATAAAATTAAAGACAGGCATAATAAAAAGATAATAATATGATGGCGTAATGTAACTAAATACCAGAACCGACGAATTAATACGAGTGAGTGAATTGTTATTTGTGAACACTAGAATTTTAGAACAACAAAAATGCTTGAAGTCATTCACGAGTTGAAGAACCACAGACAAAATTAGTGCTAGCAGATAGTGTAATTATTTTCTTTTTAGAAAATTATAAGTTTCATCAAAGATAATCATATTTTTGTCAAAAAAATAGGTTAAGCCTTGAAATCCACGCTTTGATTTGCCCAATTTTTTTATCGAATGGAGGTGCCCAAGCCCTACTAGAAATATGTTGGGTAAACAGGTACATCATTGTACGGTCCCAAATAGAACCGACTCTGATGCTAAAGATGAGACAAGAGAAATATGGTGACGCCCATCTAATGTCGATGATGCCGCTGTAAAATAAACCGAATATATATACACAGTTTTATGGTTACAATTACCACAAGTATACCTAATGCTAAAACATAAAATACAAATATAGTACACAATAACAATAACATATTAAAATACTATCTTTGGCTAGTCGATTGAACTAACTGATTTTATGAAGTGTTCAGGAAAAGGTCAGTCATTATTTAAAATATAATTAATGTTACAATCATCTTGTTCCAAAATTCAATATTGTTCCTATTGAGTTTTTTTTTTTTAAGTAAGCATTTTATAATCTCAAATTTTATTTCAAATGGCTACCTACCAACCACCGCATAACAACATCAATTTAGACTCCACAAACAAAATGTGATTAATTAAAAACGTTTTTTTTTTACTGTATCTATTTTTGAAATTAGCTCCCAAATGTAATTATTTTCCATATCCTAAAATTCTCTCCGCATAGAAATAAAATTTCATCAGTGTCCCTAAGATTCAAAACTAAATCAACCAAGAGCACTTGGATGAGATGGCTTGGGTCTCTTCCAGCTTAACCAGTGGTCTCGTGTTCGAGTCCTGGGAATGCAACAGTGTTAAAATTCTTGTGGGAGAGCTTTGCCGCCCTTGTGGTCCTACCCAGCTCGATTCCGGATTAGTCGGTTCCCCTGTGGATCCAGAAACCGGAAGGTCCCTGTACCAAAAAANNNNAAAAAAAAAAAAAAAACTAAATCAACTTTGCCCACACCTTCATTGAAAAGTAGGTTAATGTAGCTTTTACACAGTTAAACTTACTATAAATAGCATGCCTCACCATAGACTTCTCAAGGCATAAACCCTTTCAACACACACCAATAGTGAAGCAAAAGCCAAGACCAATTTGCATCTCAATAGCAATGGCACCAACATCACTTTTTGCCATAGCTCTTGCCTTAGCCATCTCCATCCAAGGAACTCTAGGTAACTTATCAATCACATTTCATACATCACTCTTCTTTTGTCACATTTGTATGCATAACAACAAACAATTTTAATAACAATGCAGGCGAGATCAGATGTGAGGACCTGAACGAGAACTCGTGCGCGTTCGCAGTATCGTCCACGGGCAAACGGTGCGTGCTCGAGAGCCATAGCTTTTTGCGCAAGCTCGGGACTCCGGACAGGTACACGTGTCGCACGTCCGACATCAAGGCTTCCGACAGGCTTGTTAACTACATCGAGTCCGAGGAGTGCATCACCGCCTGTGGGGTCGACAAGGGGGCCCTCGGCATCTCCTCCGACTCCCTACTCAACCACAACTTCATCAACAAGTTTTGCTCCGCGTCGTGCTATGACAAATGTCACAACATCGTTGATCTCTACTTCAATGTCGCAGCCGGTGAAGGTAATATTAATTTGATCCAATTTAAGTTGCATCTTGACTTGAGGCTTCATGTACATCATTTGGTGTTCGTAGTACATTCACATGATGTGAGATATAAATTGGACATTGTGAGCACTATTACATAAGTACACCAAATTGTGTGCTAGGTGAATCATTATATATCCTTGATTGAATCATAAAAAAAAAAGTGAATGTTATTAATCATTGGCTAACATTTATAGTTTATTATGTAAAAAAAGGTGTGTACATCCCCAAAGTATGCGAAAGGCACCGCTCGGGCGCACGTCGTGAGATGATGGAGGAAAAATTCAACTCGGCGAATAGACTTGCTTACGCACCAACTAGTCCATCACAAGCTAAAGATGTCCTTGCTGACGCACCCGGTCCTGAAGCCGCAGCCTACTCACCAACTACTAGTGATCTATCAGAAGCTAAAGATTTCCTTGCCAACACACCCGGAGCCGCAACCTCCACACAAACTCCAAACGATCTATCAGAAGCTAAAGATTTCTATGCCAACACACCCGAAGCCGCAGCATGCTCACCAGGTGCTAACGATCCTTCACAAGCTAAAGATTTCCTTGCAGACACAAATGATCCCGAAGCTGCAGCCCCGAACGCCTATTGAAGTTTCTCCTATACCTTATAAAGTTTCTCTTAGGGGAAATTTTATAGGCTTTAAAGTTAAAGCTTTTCCTTTATAGTGTGAGTTTTGGTCAGGCACAATCATAAAATAAGGAGTTTTGATCCATTTCACCTATGTATTGTTAAGCGTGTGTTTCTTTGTGTGCTTTCTTGTTTAATTTTGATTGCGAGTTGTTTATTTATACAACAATTTGATTTGAGTGTTATAGTACTGCTTTTTCTTTGAAAAATTATGCTATTATAGTCTTTTGGAAATAATATTTGGAGTTCAATTTGGTATTAAAAAAGCTTGAGGGTAACTTAATTTATATTAAAAAAAAGTATGAAATTCATCTAATAATTTGGGGCACATAATAAGTTTGTTCAACAACTTTTGCTATTTAAAATGTCGAATAATTAATAAAAATCGATCACAAAATATACAAAAGTGCAAACATCAAGAAAAAGTTACTCATTAAACTAATCGCATAAAATTGCAGATATATCCACTAACTTATGTATTCAGACAAAATTTTCCGATTCGATTAGAGACATTATTTACAACCGTTAATTATCTATAAATATATAATTTGGCAAGACAAGCATTTAATTTTATTGTGATGCATTAAATTTTATTCTCCCTCCAATTTTTTTAGCATTCAATTTCATTTTTAAGTTACAAATTAACTTGCTTGAATGCCATAAATTATGAGCATAAATCAATTAAGGGAGTTACAAAATTGATTTAGCATAAAGAAATTGGTTGTAATGACTCTTCTATTTTATTATTTCCTATTTGTTTGAGGGTACCGTTAAAATTTCGACGCAAAATTTTTTTTTAACATGGTCTCCTATACTATGGCGATCATCAAGAGTCAAGATC